CCTGCTGAAAAACATTGAATGTAAAGTTCATCCTACCATCTATGAATACTTATTTGATTCCGTCAAACCCTAAATTACTATCTATTCCTCATGCCACTGTGGTGACACGTCCTGCCCTGTAATCATCGCTGGACTCAAGAGACATCCGATCAACCTGATTCGTATTTCTCGCTCCCACGGTCCAGATATCTTTAAGACTTGTGGGGCAAAGTACACTAGAAATACTTGAGCTATTTAATACCATATCCAATAATAAAAAGATAAGGGTAAACAACTTAAATAAAATACAATATGATAAACAAGCCCCAAATACCCTTGTATCGAACTCATGTAAGGTTCATGAATAGTTAATTATGTATATATATATATATATCCGTCTTTCTCCTGTGACATAAATATATCGATTAAAAAAATGATAGTAACTGTATACAATTCTTCCATTTTACTTTAAAAGCATTTTAAAGCTTAAATTCTCCTAATCTTGATATGTCAATTCCTTTAATACCGTCAATTCCATCCTCGTAGGTCTCGGAAACATAACGTTAACCGAGTCGCATTCCTCGCAGGTCTCGGAGATACCACTTCAATCCGAGTTGCATTCCTCACAGGTCTCAGAGATCACACTTCAATCTGAGTTGCATTCCTCGCCGGTCTCAGAGATAATACTTCAATCTGAGCTGCAATCCTCGCAGGTCTCGGAGATACCACTTCAATCTGAGCTGCATTCCTCGCAGGTCTCAGAGATCACACTTCAATCTGAGCTACACTTTAATATGAGCTGTAATCCTCACAAGTTTAAGAGATACCACTTCAATCCGAGTTGCATTCCTCGCAGGTCTCAGAGATCACACTTCAATCTTAGCTGCAATCCTCGCAGGTCTCAGAGATCAATCCGAGCTGCATTCCTCGCATGTCTCAGAGATTACACTTCAATCTGAACTGCAATCCTCGTAGGTCTCAGAGATAACACTTTAATCTGAGCTGCAATCCTCGCATGTCTTAGAGATCACACTTTAATCTGAGCTGCAATCCTCGCAGGTCTCGGAAATACCACTTCAATCTGAGCTGCATTCTTAGCTCCAAACGGTTCAGGCGTCCCCGAGACTCGTGGGGCATTATCAAAATGACCAAACTGTTTCAAAGTAACTAGGGGTACCTTCACGGTGGGTTTGAAAACCATAACTCATCTTTATATCAACATAAAATAAGTTAGTTCTTAACTGAACTTAGAATATATACATAAATACATGCCAAAATCTGATAACAGCCAAAGGCTATGACTCATCCTTTTCAATTACTGGATATACATATATGAAACACTTAGCTAGTATGTTAGTCATATCGATCTCTGATTAACATACCATTCAAATATTATAGTTCCTCTTGAACCTGTTTATTTTCAACCTGGATACTATGTTTTTCATATGAAAACCTCAACAATTTTTTTTTTCCAAACCCTTATAGATGCCTTAAACTCAATCACGCCGACAAGGCACTACAACATAAAGGACGTCCAACAATTTATTAAAATAAGGATGCACACGTGGTGCTGTGTCTACAGAAAGTTAAACCTAATGCGCTGATACCAATTGAAAGGACCCGACCCAAATTCCACTTTGAAATATGAGTCGAACCCTGTGTGTATCCGACACCTGGTGGGTGTCGGGCACAAATGACCGAAAATCCCTGAATAACAAAAATACCTTGACAATCTCAAAGACTCCAACTCGTAGCTGCACCTTGTAACCTTAGGTTGCCTACGTAGCCTTACTGAGAGATCAAACCACGCGTAGTTTTTTTCCCTACTCATAACTGTCACACACTAAAAATAGGTATGTCATACACTAAACTCCCTTATCTATCCTCGCATGCCTCGGAGATACTGCTTCTATCTGGGCCACCACCTGTAAATAACTATCTACTCATCCCATAACAGGATTTAGATAATTCCTTTCGGTCCGGACTATCTTACTGTAAACCTAGCTCTAGGGTTGGCGTTTCTGGGGTGTCCAGGACTCCGTTTTACAATCCGTCGAAAATTATGCGAACCTGATACTATCTAGATCAATATATCTAAAAATGACTGTGATCTAAAGGCTCAACATGCTGAATCTAGAAATCACACACTAGGCGATATTCGTTCGGGGTTCAAACGTTATCCGAATTGGAAACCACAAGTACCCACACGCTCATGAGGACCAAGGAATTATTCTAGGACTGAATATGGTCCCCGCCCTACTGCCCACGCATCGCCACACGCGCCGGCAGCATGTGGTGCCCAAAGCGATAACGCTTCACCGGAAAATCTCCAAACCACGGCTCAAGGCTCCTACCCTAGGTGTAACACCATATTTGGAACCACTTTTGTTCTTGGACCTAACCCAAATACTGGCCGAAAGTGGCCGGAATCTCAACCCGAAAATCGGCCAAAACCTAGTTCCCAAAATCGTTCTCCTACACACAAAATCAACCAATTCCTATCCAACAGGCAGCTAGAGCTCAAAGAGTAAATGAGATTTCATACCTTGATCATTGAAAATGGTGGATGGAGGAAAGAAATTGAACGGCTAGGAATTTTGAGCTAAACCGGACTGTTCTCGGGTTCTTTCCGGCAGATTCCGGTGGCTCTGACGGCATAGCTTGACCAGGAAGGGAAGAGGGAGGCTGCCTAGTTCATTTGGGTCCGATCCCTTGGCCAGTCGTGGCCTGTAGCGGCGGGGGGGGGGCCC